CAAAGTAAACTATTTCTGTACTGTTTTGGAAATGTACTGCTTTTGCTGTAGCGTTATGACGTGTCTTACGTGTTTTCTTAATGCTCAGCTTTCATTTACTTTTATTACTTACCGAGTTGGCATACTCACATTACTCCCTGCACCTTCTGTGCAGATTCAGGTAGTTCTGAACCCGGTAGCGGGTGTTGATTACTCAGTGGCAGAGTCATTGGAGTTAGCAAGGTAGCTGCCCGACGTTCGCAGCACTGCTTTTATCCCTCTTGTCTTCCTTAGATTGGTTTAGTATATTTTCAGACTCTTCATTGTATTCAGACCTTAGTAGATGCTCGTGACTTGTGACACCCGATGTCGGGCTTGTGCATTTATTCCGCACTGTTCATTTAGACTTACATTATGAGATTATTGATTAATTAATGGCTTAAAAATAACTTTTATTGAATACAGATTGACTTCGGGAATTATGACGGCTGGCCTAGTTTCATGATAGGCGTCATCACGACCGGATCGATTTTTGGGTCATGACATGAATGAACCAAAAATCCCGTCTAAGTCATATTATGTTCAGCTGCAGATGTCGCATTTGCGACCTAGGCTTCGCAAATGCGAAGCCTGCAAATGCGAGAAATCCATCGCATTTGCGTAGACTCTCACACCTCTGCAATCATCGCATTTGCAATGAAAAGTTTGCAAATACGAACACTGACTTGACCGCAAATGCGACCCAATGATCGCAAATGCGAAGAATCCCCCTCCCCAGCTCCCATCGCAAATGCGAAGCTTTGTTCGCAAATGCGAACACTAGCCTTCCGCAAATGCGACCTCATGATCGCAAATGCGAACTTAAGCTGACCCGGCACTATTCGCAAATGCGAAGACATGGCTCTCAAATTCGAACCTGTAAGAAGTGGGAAAGTTTCGCAAATGCGAACACTGATCTCGCAAATGCAAGATCAGAGGCCAGTTCACAGAAATTGCTGACACCAGCAAATGTTCTAAGTCCAATTTACTCTGTAGCCTATTCGAAACTCACCCGACCCTCGGGGCCCTACACCAACTATGCACACAAGTCTAAAAACATCATATGAACTTGCTCGCGCGATCAAATCACCAATATAACACCTAAAACTACGAATTGAACACCAAATCAAATGAAAATTTTAAGAAAACTTTGGAACTTCTATTTTCACAACCGGACGTCTGAATCACGTCAAACCAACTTCGTTTCTCACCAAATTTGACAGACAAGTCATAAATATAGTACTGGACCTATGCCTGGCTCCGGAACCAAAATACGGACCCGATATTCAAAAGTCAAACATTGGTCAAACATTTCAATTCATTAAGCCTTAAATTTTCAAATTTCCATAAAATGCGATAACTCGGGCTAAGGACTTCCGAATTCGATTCCGGACATACGCCCTATTCCCAAATCACGATACGGACTCACCAGAACCGTCAAAACACGAATCTATATCCATTTGCTCAAAACATTTACCGAAGTCAACTCAGGTGAATTTTAAGGCAAAGTTTCATGTTTTTCTCAGTTTTTGACATAAAAGCTTTTCGAAAAGTCACTCGGACTATGCACGGAAATCGAGAAAGGATAATATATGATTTTTAAGGCTTCGGATCACAGAATTAGGTTTCAAAATATGAGATGACCTATCGGGTCATCACAAGTTCCTTTACATTGTGATAGTCAGTCCGCCATCTACTTTGCTCGGAATCCAGTGTTTCATGAGCGTAGGAACATATGGAGTTGGATTGCCACTTTGACCGTGAGAAACTCCAAGATGGGCTCATTTCGTTATCATTTGTTTCCAGCAAACCACAACTGGCCGATATGCTGACTAAGCCACTCCCAGGGGTCTCTCACAGGTCTATTTTGTTGGATTTATAATTGGGTCGTCACCTTGGGCCTTATAATTATTTTTAGATAGGTCAGCTGCACATATGTATTTGGACTTTCTTTTTCTTCTTTCGGTTTTGACCCACCTTCCTTCCCCGAGTTAGGTTTCTGATTTCTTCTTCGTTTCTGCTCGATTTCGTACAATCTAACAAATTCGTCCTCAGTGCGACCAAGTTGGTTACATATAGGGCATCGGAGTTGTGTCGGGTGAGATCTCAAGCTTCGTAAGAAAAATTCGAAATCAATATTATCAGATATGTTAATATTTTTTGTGAAAAAGAAACTCAATTTTTACCTATCTGACTTATTTAGAACGAGTGATGCACGTCAATTCTATGGACTTTATGAAGTTTATAGGCTAGTGTGACGACTCTCACCTACACATATATGTGGACCTACGGGTTCACAATAGTAAGAGCCCATTTGGAAATAAGAATTTTTTCACTTTTTTTTTTGAAATTTTTTTACTTTTTTTTTCAAAATCAGTGTTTGGCTATAAAATTTTTAATATTCACTTGAATATGAACTTTGGAAGTTTTGGAAATTTTGAAAAACTCCAAAAAGATATTTTTTTTTTAAATTTTCACTCAGATCACTCACAATAATTCAAAAAAAAAAAATCCAAAATTATATTCATGTCTAAACATAACTCTAATTTTTAAATACCATTTTTACTTGAAAAATTGAATTTTACAATTCTTATGTCCAAACGCCCGCTAAGTTTGTTAGAATGAAATAATATCGTTGAAGTTAAAAGTGAAAGCTCTGCAAAAAAAAAAAAAAAAAAAAAAAAAAAAAAAAAAATCTTGATCTATTTAAAAACGGTAAGTGAATCAATTAACGCGGTAGACTCCTAATATAACTCAACAAACTCAATTATAACACGTAAAATTTGTATTTCCAGTTATAGAAAAGATTCTCAGCCGAAAAACACTCCAAAAACATAACAATCTTGAGAGATTCAATCCATCCTTTCTTTTTTTAGTGGTATCTTTACTAAAATATTTTTTAGTGGTATCTTTACAAATAGATTTATATATTAAAATTATATAATTACATTGAATACATTTAAATACATACAATACAATAAATACATGAAGTATAGCAGGTCATCTAAAGTGCAAAACATATGAATACATACTGCAGATACATTTCAATACACATATACATCTGAATAAATAAATTATATTAATTAAAAAAATAAATGAATACATTCTACAATACATTGAACACATATTGCTGAATATATATTGCTTGACAAAACAGTGAAACAAAGTGAAGCTTTGAAATTATACATTTAACTTGAATATAGTTAAATACAGTGAATATATTGAAAAAGTAAAGACAATGAATACAATGAAATACATGTAAAACAGCGAGATACATTGAATAGAATGAAAATAAAGTATCTTTTCCCTTAACCCCTGAATCACCATCCATAAGTTTCAATACATACGGAGCAGGAGAAGGCGATGGACTGACAAGAAACAGAGTTGAACCCTTAGCAGGGGTTTATTTGCCACACTTCATCTCTGCCATTTAAAGCTCGACGCGCAGCTTCTCGATGTTGCCTTCAATGCGGCCATGAAGACGGTGGCGCGTGAAGCTCACACCACCCATGGACTAGTGGGCTTCCTCCGCCCATAACATTAATGGATCAATAATGGAGACTGGTGGATCCACTCGCTCTTTGTTGGGCTTGTAAAACCGTGGCCCAAGGAAGCTGCTACCATAGAATTTTGCTGGTCCTAGGGCTTCTACCATGCTTCAGAATGCATATCAAAACGTAAAATGTAAAAGTTAGAGAATCGTGGTTGTATTCACGGAGAAGAGACTGGGGTTGAGAGAGAGATTGTGGAGAGATCTTGGTTTCTGAAATTGTATACTATACGGTGGTCTTGTGAGAGAAAGAACATAAAGTATGAGAGAGAAAAATAATACCTAGCGTATTTAATGGCTAAAAAGTAGGAAGTGACCATAAATATATATTTTGTTATAAAACCTAAAAGATAGCTATAGAAAATAATATGTATTTATAATAATAAGGTATAAAGCTTTGCTATAGGAGGTAAAATTTCCTATTAATGGCTTGCTTGGATCATCCTGACCCATATATTAGTGGTGTACTTTACCAACTAAGCCATACTTGTTTGTCATGTAACATAAAAAATTGAAGAGGTAAATTTCTTCATGACGTGGTGTTTAGACTAATTTGTGACACACCTCAATCAATTCATTTAACTACTTATTAGAGTCTACAAATACAGTTAAACTTGTCATATAGAGGAAAAGAACGATTCTTGTAATTAAAATTACATACTTTAATAATCCAGTTCGTTACTTCTATGACTCAGTCATTCAATCATTTCCTCGCAGACTCGAAGGGCAAAATTAAGAGGAAAAAAGCGATTTTTTTGTTTATTTTCTGATGTTTGATTAAGTAACAGAAAATATTTTTTTAAAAATATATAATTTAGGCAAACACTATGAAAGACAGAAATGAGTAATGGTGTGTGTTTGTGGGAGGAGGGGGGGGGGGGGATAGTTCGGGGTCTAGGGGGCTGAGCGGGGGAGTGAAGGATGGGGGTGAAGAATTGTGTGGGGAAGGATGAAGAAAAATTTAAAAATATTTTCCCTCCTTTTAGTAAGAAGTCATTTTTCTCAAATCACGAGGAAATTATTTTTTAAAATATTTAAGTCAACCAAACATAAAAAATTAAAAAATTCTCAATACAAAACACCTAAAAGCTAAAAAAATTCAACTTTTCTATTTGTAACTGTTATAAAATATTTTGTTCATAATGGTAAAATTAATAAGTGAAAAATCCTTTGACCAAAGTTAATTCCAATCTTGGAAGTCTAGTTTGAAGTCATGAATGTCATAATTAGGTTAGGTGGCTAATCTAGTCATAATATTATCAAAAGGGTGCCCAAATCAAGAAAAGAAAAAAACAAAAGAAGGTGGATGGGGTGAGGGTAGGGTGGGTAAAGAGAGAGTGAACTAGGACTGTTTGTATTACATGTGATGACTCAATGGATAATAGTTTTGTTTTTTTCCTTTGCCTTTTTTATTTTTAGAAAAAAGTTTTATGTACTGTACTTTTTTATATGAGAAATTTGGGAAAGCAAAGGAAGTAGTTAGTAGTATATAGTTAATGTAGTTTTCAGGTGGGGGGAGAAAACAGCACAAAAATACATCTTAGCATCAAACCAAGAGCCAAAACTAAGCAAATGTTTGTATCAAATCAGTATGCTTGCAAATGGATCCATCTTTTTCAAGTCATTCATTAACCAAAGCAAAAGGTCTTAACCCTTTCTTTAGCCTTTCTTCTTTTTCTGTTCTTCCTTTTTTTTTATTTTCTTATTTTTTAGAATTTTCTTGAATGAATTTTGGAGTTTGAAAATATGGGGATCATAAAAAAGGTTTAAAGCATAGTTCTTTGATGTTTTCAGGGGATTTTCTGTTTCAAATATCTGATTCTTGGTTGGTACTGTTAGGGTAATGCTTTGGTTGGCTTAACTAAAACTAGATAAAGGGGGAATGAAAATGATGATAGCTTGGTTGAATCTTGTAATTTTCCAAATTAGTAGTAGTATTTTTTCTCATAAAGTTGGCTGCTCAAAACATGTAAGGATCCTCCTGTTTTGAGCAAAAGCTGGCTTTCTGAAACATAAATCCACAACATCTATAAATTGTTACCTTGTAAAAAAGGCAAGGGAATAAAGTTTGGTCTATTTTTAAGGAAGCTTAAAGAATTTAGTTTTGGAAGACAGCTTAAAGATTGTGCTTCTCTTCATCCTCACTTATTCTAGTTATCTGAACCTGTGATTAAGTGTAAATGCTTCAAACTTTGTAAGGTAGTTTAAATTATTGAACAAATTTAAATAATGAAAAAGAATGTTTGTTTCTACTGCTATATGGTGTAAATACTATTTATTCTTTGTTGCTTCTGTTTAGAGAGATTCTGTGTTATGAATTAGCAGTAAAGAAAGAAAGTCTGACAGAATCCTTTATCCTTCGGGTTTTATCTACTCTTCAGTGTTTACTATCGGTTATATTTCTCTTGCAATTCGAGCTCATAGTTTGTAACCATATACGTGCCCTTAGTATATGAAGCACACAGTTAACATGATGTGATGACCGCTAAATTGCTTGTATTGAGAGCATTGGCTGAGGGGGGCGATTATTTCTTAGTGGCTGACTCTGGTGCTCAAGTAGTTGGTAAGCAGAACCTCTGGACATTATTATGTGCAGCTATTCCCAAATTTCTTGTATTGAGAGCATTGGCTGAGGGGGGCGATTATTTCTTAGTGGCTGACTCTGGTGCTCAAGTAGTTGGTAAGCAGAACCTCTGGACATTATTATGTGCAGCTATTCCCAAATTTTGGCAGAAACACTAATCTTTAACAAGTAGTCTGCTTGTCATTATATTCAGCTTCCTATGGTAGCCTGTCCTTGAGTAATTGTGATGTCTAGTATTCTACATTTATTGTCAGTTGAGCCTTCTTCTTTGTTAATACGTGGATTTTGCTCTGATTTAATCAGGTAACTCCAGTCTAGACGGTGGTATAGTGTATTAAGGTAGCATAGAGGTTTTCAAATATTCAGTGTAAAGCTTCTGGAGCACGAGATTCGAAGAGGATGATAAGCTTCTCCCAGAAAGGTGTCCGTGGAAAAGAAGGTCAATCTTTCACTCCTTTGTTTGTGAATTGTTCATCTATGTGGAGCTCGGGTGAACCACCAGAAAATGCTCCTTGTAAGAGTGTCCTTAATGGAGCGGAATCTGCATCGAAATGTCACTCCAATATCAAGCAAACAGAATCCCAATATCAAGATCAGGATTCAACTTCTACTCTGTCAACTGGTCAATCTGATCATGTGGAGACCGCAATGGCAAAAAGCAATACTGTTCTGCAAAATGTTGCGCTTCATCCAGGTCTTAAATTTATGAACTGGAACATAATCTCTTCTTAAACTTCAATTCTCTTGGACAGTGTGCTCAAACGGTTAACAAATTGAGACCTCCTTAAGTTAGGAAGCTTAGATGAATATATTCACTTTTGGGGTGATAATATCAGAATTTAAATAACTCAAATGATGTTCTTATCAATGTGATCCGTGATAGGCTTTAGCAAGTATATTAGCTTTTCATATTTGTGATAAAAATACTATATATACACTGACATCAGTTACATGATGTTCTTCCGGATAGGTTGGGATGGAGTTTATGAGGTGCAAGGAGAGAGTGGAACAAAAGCATTCCTATCAGGCAAAAGTGCCACCAACACTCTTCCTCAACCACATGTGCACCATAATCATCCAATGGTCTGTAATCTCTTACTTATTTTGCATCTGCTATGCAGATCGGTACACTTTGATGTCAGTTTGTTATGTGCATTTCCATTGTTTTCTCGCTGCTGCCACTCACTTACTGGTGCATATAGTCACCATTAACCGCCGAAATTTATCTTCCCCCCCCTCCCTTTTTACTATTTATCTTCCATGACCCCTATTGTGATCCCCGGGGGGGGGGGGGGGGATTGTAATTATTCTCAAGTCTAAAACATCTCTCTCTCTCTCTAACTTCTTTCCTTTGCTTCCTTTTTTGGTTCTTGCTTCTAGTGTCCCCGCCAGAAGAAATAGGATTGATTAAAAAACCTGATTCCAATGAAATATTTGCTCCATTCTTCTAAATTTAGCCCTTTCATTGTTCCAAGTCACTATAATTCAGTAAATGACTAATTGGTTTTATATGTATTATCAAGAAAAAATGACTAGTTGGCTTTATAACTTGTAAAAATAATCAGATCACTTTTTCTTCTAGGCTTGCGCATCCTACCCTTGGGCTGACACTTACTTTGGAAGGCTCGTGGCTACTTATGGATCAAATGCCATCGTAAGTGACCTTGACTACAAGCTTTTTACCTAAAGCAACAGTCTCTATCTTTTATATTTTTCTTTTATGATTCAACATCCAAAATATTTTAAGGTTGCTAGAATGAAAGAGTCAAACTTGGACTACTTTATTTCTGTCTGATGCTGCCAATGTCATTGCAACTCAAACAGTCTCACCTTTTTATGTTCGGATAATTATTCATATTCCATGTCACAATGTGTCTCTTTATGCATTCATCTTTCTTTCCCTTTTCTTGGATCTGGGAGGCATTTGGTGCTTGTCATTGATTCTTTTGTTTGTCAAAGAGTTACTATTAACTCGATGCAACTGATTTTGTATATGGTACATTATCTTAAGAGGAATAGTGAAGCTAATACTGGTCTCATCATCTTAAGTGGAAGAGCGAAGCTAATACTGGTCATCTGATGCACTTCTCTTGCTTTTACAATTTATCTGAACATGACTTAACTTAAGGTAGAGCAGAAGGAGATAGCAATCTGGTGATTGAGTTGCAGTTTTTGAAGTTTATCAGCTTTAGTATCTTCGGACGCTCCTCCTTTGCTGACTTTGTCTCTGTTTTCTCACTAAATCTAGAGTCCTGATACTATGAGATATGTGTGCACACTAACAAACTGAAATTAATTTAGATTACATGGAATTATTGAAGTTACAATATATTCTTCTGTGTAATCTCCATTAGGCTTGACATTTGAAATACTATTTAGATTGCCTTTACTTGGTAAGTTGGGAAGTGATCTATTCTCTACTATCATATCTTTTTCTAAGCACAAGAAACCAAAACGAATTTGATCTGTGGAGACACAAGTGATGCACCAAAACAGCTCTCTTTGATGATGTCCACTGTCCTTCTACCGCATGAATCCTGTGATTTGCAAACCCCTGCCAAATTCAACATGCAACTAACTTTTGCCATCTCTTCCGAGCGAGTAGCACTTGTTTGTGCCAGTTCTTCAAAAGTAGAGAGCAGTAATTCATTCAGCTGCCTTTATTGCAAGTGACAATCACTTCTTCTCATTTAATGCTTCTCATGTTGAGCTCCTCAATCTTCAACTTGGAAAAAAACTAGAATTTATTTCACTTGATAATGAATTTTTGCTATTTTATGTAACTCCTTTTCTGGTGTGGGATATATCCAGATTTATCCTCAAATGGTTGGTGTCACCTCCACAAGAGTTGCACTTCCTCTTGAATGCACAGAGAGCTTGCCCATTTACGTGAATGCGAAACAATACAGTGCTATCCTCAAAAGACGTCAAGTCCGTGCCAAGCTGGAGGCTCAGAATAAGCTTGTCAAAGACAGAAAGGTACGTCCATCCAATCTAAATCTTTCACTTGCCAACAACGAAATTGTGGTCTTATCTCATCTGTTGTATGGCACAGCCATATCTTCATGAGTCTCGACATCGTCACGCAATGAAGAGAGCTAGAGGTACTGGAGGGCGCTTTTTGAACACAAAGAATATGCAGCAATCTAAGCCTTCATCTCCAACGCACGACAAAAGCATCTTTAAGGGAACGGCAGGTGGCAACTTAACTAGATCCATGGTTCAGCACTCAGAGAGTGGTAGTTGGGGCACTTCCACCCAATCTGGTTCTGATGTTACGAGCATCTTCAGTGGTGATGAAATGTTCCAGCAGCCAGAGTTCAGAGTCTCTGGTTTCCCTTTTCACATGCAGGAAGCTGCAGACTTCATGCATGTTGGAACTTGACAACACGTTGTGTTATCCATGATGTCGGTGCCAACACAGGCTGCATTACAAAATGCATTCTTCTTGGTTGCACTCAGATGGATAATCGGCAGTTCATCCTTGGCTATGTTACTCTTTCCTTTTCAAGAACTAAAACCGTTAACATCACTTTTTCCTAGGGTTTGGTCGTCGGTATGGTATACAGTTCATGGTTTGTGATGAATAGATCGCAGGTTGGTTCTGCACGTCATCAAGAAGGACAATGAGAGGAGAAGTCAAACCATTAGACTGTTCTTAATCAGAAACTGTGGAGATTAAGGCAGTCTTCTCCTTTTCTTGGTGGCGCGGCGTGTAGATCATGCTGCACTTCTAAGTCTATACTTGCTACTGTTATTTGTGTTACTGTTTTTCATTTCCTGTTGCTTTGTATTGCTCTCATTGTTAGTACTTTTAACTTGGGTTTTGTGTGCAACAAGATAAACTTATTGAACCATTTCATGCTTTGTACATTTACTTCTGTGCTTGTGCAACATGCAATATCTTCGTGAGGGGTGATAACTGCACAAAATCTGAAAGGAGAGGTTTAACTAAACCTGGATTAAGTGCTTACAGTTCAATTTCTTGTGTGCAATTGGAATTGCAGATTCTATTGGAACACTTCGTTTGGTTGGGAAACAAGGTATCTCAGGATTAGTTATTCCGGGATGAGTTATTTCGGGATTGTTATCCCACCCTCCCATAGAGATAAAAATAACACTACAATCTCGGGATTCGTTATACTGTGATTTTTATCCCAACCAAACGTGGGATAACTCATCTCAAATTTAATTCACAAATATCCCTTATCTCTCGTATTTGTGAGCACGTGATTTTTGCCACGCTTAAACTACTCCTACAAAATTCCTTAGAATTAGGATTTTTCTTTATTATTTCGATTTTTAGGAATTATTTGTATAATTTTCGTGTTTATTTGCATTTTTTATGTGTACATTTTTAATATTAGCATAATTCATCTAAAAAATACAAAAATACGCATTGCATTGTCATTTAGGACTTAATTTTATATTTTTTAATTAGTAATTAGGGTTTTACAAAAATACAAAAATCAAAAATTGATGTGTTGCTTGGTTTTAAGTTTTAGTTTTGAATTTTATTAGTTTTCTTTAAATTGGTATTTTACTAATAGTTTTGATTATTAATTCTAGCTTAATATAATTAGGTAGATTAGCTTAATCTTTTAGGTTTAATTTTAGTTCTATTATTAGAAAAAAAAAAAAGGGATTAAAAGAAATTGGAAAATTGAAAAGAAAAGGAAATTAAATAGGGTCTTTTGTTTCAGATTTTTGGACCTTGTCCAATCTCTAAAAAGCCAAGCCCAAACCCCTCAGTTCATCTAAACTCTACCCAGGCCCAATTTTATCACCCAGTCCGGTCCAACCCAACCCCTGATCCGGTCCAGAGACGCCCAAAACGACGTCGTTTTGGTGTCAATGGATCATGACCGTCCATCCCCTCAAATCTAACGGCCTGGATTGAATCTTGAATTAAAATAAAAGTGTCTAAATAACTCCCTAACCCTAGAGACCGTTCCATCATCCTCGTACCAATCCCTCCCCCTGTAACGCCGACCGTCGCTCCTCCACTTCTCCACCGTCCTCCGCCGTCCGCCGCCGGCCGGAAATCGCCTCCGCCGGTGGCGATTCTCCGATGAACCCCAAAATTACACCATAGATACTCCTCTACCTCCTCTTTCCATATCCGAATTTAGTTTCCCTCAAATCACAACCAAACTCCTCGAATATTAAATCAAAATTCCGGCCAAAACCCTAACTCTTCCAAATCCAACCAAAATCACACCCTATAGCCTCCTTGACCTCCTCATCCCGAATCTCGAACCAAAACCCTTCGAATCCAAGTGAAACCCCATGAATTTCAGATCTAGGGTTCAAAAATTCCAACCTGTTTTGGGAGTTTCAAGTATTCGAGTGATTTTTAATTAATGTTATATGACTATTTTTGACAAAATAGACATATAACATTAACTGAAAATCAAATTCGAGGTCCGCCCAAATGAAGACCAAAATCAGTGAGTTCTTGTTCTTTTTTTGTTTATTTTTCTTTCTGTTCCTTCTTAATCTTTCATCTTCTGATTAAAACATGTAAATGTCCTTCTTGGTTTTCTGATTAGTTTTGAAATATTGTTCGATTTCTGCTTTATCTTTGATCTGTTGGTTTAAATTTTTGTTCATGTTTAAATCTGTTCTCATGATTTCTTTGATTTATTGTTGTCTTGTTCCTGTTTTGTGATTCTAGTTGAATTGTTGCTTTGATTCAGTGCTTATTAGTATAGGTTTTAATTGTATTAGCTAGTTAATTAAAATTAGATTTCTTTTTAATGTTGCTAATTGTTCTTAAAGTTAATTTTGAATTGTTTTCCAGTCTTGACAGTTTACTTCGATTGTTAGAATTTCTGTTAGTTTTAGTTTGTTGATTGGTTATAGCTGATAGTGTTCAACTAGTGTTAGTAATTCTAGGTTGAATTCAGGGTAGTTTAAGACATTTAGGATTGGATAGCACATGGTAGTTGAAACTAGAATCTTCTAGGACCTTCCAAAGTAGGAACCTTAGTGTAATTTCAGTAATTGTAGTGTATAACTTGTGACACAAGTCAGGAAACAAAGGGTAAATGAGTAAATAAAGAGGACTGGAATGAAAACAAATAAAATCTGAGGGTTGCCCATTAGTTTGCATATATAAGGCAGTCACCTCTGCCTTGAAAAGGAAGTTGGACTCTCTCTAAAAAATTCCCAAAATTTGAACCCCTGAAAATTCCCTGAAAGTTTTGAAACACCTGAAAATTCCCAAAAAAGTCTAAAAAATCTAAAAACTCCCCCCAAAAAGTTTCTGCAAGTTTGAATCTGGAAAATGTCGAATTTCAAATTCAAAAAACCAAATCTGAAATCATTTTAGATCTTAGTTCTTCAAAAAAAACCAAAAAAAAAAACACAAAAACTCAAAAATACTGTTCTATTGAATTTCTTCATAGTAATTTGTAGTTCCAGCCCTTCAGTAGGAATTCCTAGCTTGTCAAAAGTCCAAAATGGCCGGAACATCTCCTGGTTTTCAGTAATTGAAGTTTTAAAAGGCTTCTGGGTTAATTTCCAGCTGAAATTGGTCTATTCGAGTCTATTTTGGTCTGTCTACTGGTTGTCATCTCTGGGATTCAAAGTTGGAATTACTGCCGCTGTTACCTGCTGTTTAACACTGTTATTAGCTCACCACTGCTGCTGATTTCTCCTCCTTTCTTGTTTGTATTTCAACTTCCAGGTACTTGCTTAATCTCTAATGGCCAAAAGCTAAGACAACTTGTAATCGAAGTTTTGATGTGAAGTGAAAGGCTGATCTGGATGCTTGAACTGTTCAAATTCATGTTTACTCATGTGTATTGTTCATATAACAAATTGCTCTTAATAATTTCATGTTTAGCTTACTTGTGTACACATTAGCTTACACGATAAATTATGTAGTAGCAGCATTTGAAACATAGACGACCTGGACTTTTGACAATTGTAATAATTGGACTGCTATACTAGTGTGTATTCATTCAGTAATATTTAGCTTTAGCGTGAGTTAATTCTGATGTTTGTTTTAGATTTCATCTCACGTCGGGGTAATTGTTAAACTTTGAAAAACAGCGTGGAATTCGAAACTGATTCTGAGGCTAGTACATATTTGTATCCATGTTAACTTCAGGACTAATAGGCCTAAGGAATGATTAATAGTATGCATTTCAACATGTTAAATAAGTTTGATGCTTCCATATGGTAATCACTCTAATATAACCATATTTTCTATCATCGTTTGTGTTAATTCATAGCTTAATAAAATATTTAGAATCTGGCCCATACGTGAGGTTTAGTTCCATGTTTCATGCACAGCAAGTTAATTCCTGATGATAGCTGGTAGTTTAAAACACTAATGCTTTGTCAAAACACATTCAGTTTGGTTTATAAATGCATGGGCTGTCAGAGCCATGAAGAAGTAATTTAATAGGCCCAAAATTAATTTGGCATCGGGTCTTTAGGCTTATCACGGGCCCAGGCTGTCCAGCTTTTGTAAATGAAATCTGGGCCTGTTTTGAACAATACTGAAATGTTACTCCCTTCCCATTGGGCTGCTTCGAATAATTTGCTAAAATTTTGTTCTGCTACATACTAAAGTTGTTGGGCTTAGATGACTTAAAAACTGAAGCATAGGTTTTGGGCCTTCGAGTTAAGTAGCACACTTGAATTAAAAGGTATTTCCTTTTGTTCAAGTATGGACTTGAACTTGAGGCCCAACTTCTTTGATTACTCTCGATAATGGCAATTCATAATGCTAATTAACTAAGGTTTATTTTTAGAGACGATCATTAATAGAAAAATGGTAGTCCCTTTTAGGATGGCTTTTAAAAAAATAAAACGAGGTACGCCGCACCAAACAAAATGCATAAATCGCGTGGCCCTCAATGTGTATATTAAAATACGTAGAATTTGGGACGTGTCATTTAGCGAATTTTTATGCCTCCCACAAAGTTAATAACACGTTAGTCGCTTTAGGCGCGCTTTTTAATAATTTTACCTTCCTAAATACGGGTGTGCATTTCATGCAACCCAAATCCAAATCCCAAAACGTTGAATAAGAGGTGTCAAGGATCCGGGTGCATTTCATGTGGCGTGATCCAAAAACACGCTCTTAAACGGCGTTCACTTTTCGTAAAAATAACTAAAAGCGGTAAATAATCTTAAAAATTGCATTGTAGGTTGGAATATGTATAAAAATTAGATTTTTAGCCAATTATAATAATTTAAGCGACCGTGCTAGAACCACGGGATCCGGAGGTGCCTAACACCTTCCCCCGGGTCAACAGAATTCCTTATTCAGAATTTCCGGTTCGCAGACTCCAATTGGGAAGTCGAATTTTTCCTCGATTTGGGATTTAAATTAAACCGGTGACTTGGGACACCAAAAGCCAATCCTATCCCAAGTGGCGACTCTAAAAAATAAATAAATAATCCCATTTCGAATAATGTCACTTTAAATGGAAAAACTCCCTTATACATTATCCTTCGGGGTAGGTGTGTAAAAAGGAGGTGTGACAGCTCTGGCGACTCCACTGGGGAAAACGAACCCAGAATTTCGATTCAGGGTTCAAGAATTCGAGCTTAGTACAATTGTTATATTTGGCTTTATCTGATTTTTTATACATGTCCCATGCTATATGTGCTAAATATTTTACTGCTTTGATATTTGTTGAAATTGTATATATAAACTGTCGCGAATCCTTTCTTCTTTCTGAGTCTTCTACATCATGGAGAAGGGTGCACTTCGTGTAGCTTCTCTTCTGTTTAGAGTCTTTTCCCATTTAGAACGAGGTTTGGATAAGTTGCAAAGCCGGCGGAGCTTCTGTATCCCCGGTACGCTGCCTCCCCCTCGGCTCGAGTTGTCCGCTCGGGTAAGCCAAGTCTAGACCAATAAACTTAGGATTTAAACCTAGAAGAACAAAAACTCATGCCGGATCCCTAGTAGGACGCTTGTTTGCATCATGTGCATTTGACTTAGGGGACTCAACACAGGGGTTGGGTCCGTCTAGGACAGGTGACCTGAAATGAATTGACCATCCTGATGCATCTTACGTGCTACTTGTGCATTTATTTGCTCGGCTTTGCATGTTGACTGGCTTGTCTAAATGAGAAAATAAGCAGTGTTAGGACTACGTGAGGGTAATCATTTGTTTTGAAAAACCCCAATACCCAAATAGTACCGAAATGCTGCCGGATTTTTGAAAAATGAAAAAGAGAAAAAGAAAAATATTTGGAAAAATAGAAAGGAAATTATGGTTCAAAATAGTTTTGATTTTGGCTCATCTGACCGAACTACGCGGGTCTGATTCTCACCGGATGTGAAATACGTAGGCAAACTAACAAAAGAAGTAAACCTGAAGTGTTGCGAAAGACTGGGATGAGAAACAAAACGGAATGTACCGGATTTTTAGCACGCGGTTCCGACCCCAATTTTCAAAAAAATCCAAAAATATTTTCTTTCTTCAGAAATCTTTCCTTACATAATTTTTTTAACAAAAAAAAAAGAAGTTTTTAAAACTAAAAAACGGTTTCCTTCTTTCTAATGTCGTTCATAAAAATCAAAATCCAAAAATACAGGTTTCCTTCATTTTGAAGTATTTTTCCAAAAATCCAAAAAAAAAAAAAATCAGAAACAAAAATCCAAAAATACTCTTTTCTTCTTTAGAAGTTTTTTTTTTTTTTTGTAAATGTCAATAAAAATTTTGAAAATTGAAGTCCAAAATATTTTTGCTTTTCTCTACAAGTACTTTTGTAAATATATAAAAGCTCAGAAATTCAAAATATTTTTCTTAAAGAAGTCCCTCTTTCGAAAATTAACAGGTTACATTCAAAATCCAAAAATATTTTCTTTTTTCCTTAGAAAAAGAGAAAACAATTGAAAAACTCAAACAAAAAATATTTTCTCCTTAAAGATCCATGGTCTGAGTTTTATTAAAAAAAAAGAAAGAGTTAGTATACTCAATTCCCAATCTGCCCGAACTATGCCGGTTTGATTCTCACCGGATGTGAGATACGTAGGCAACCCTCATCGGGCCCAACCACCCTTTTGCAAAAATAGCCAAAAAATACCAAAATTATAATACAAAATAAGTTGGGTGATGCCATTCTTGTTTTAAAATAAGCCGAATGTCCCCAAAGGGACGCCGGAAGGCTGTTTTTGCAAGAACAGCCACCCTGAGTCATTTTAAATAGTTTGCGGGCACAGCCTTAAACTCTTCCTCCCAGAAGTGCTGAAAGGCCGTATCTGCAAAACCGAGTCTTTGTTTTCTTAAATAAAAGTTTTGAAAATAGCCACCTTTTCCTTTTAGGTCAAAATAAATCATTAAAATACTCCTTAGATGTCTTTCTTTCATAAATAATAAATATAAAAAAAGTACAAATTTTGAAAATTGAGTCCGAAAAATATTTTTGCTCAAAAATCCAAAACATTTTCATACAAGTCCCTCTTCCGAAAATTAAGAGGCAACTTTTAAAATCCAAAAAAAAATATTTTTCTTTCGTGTTTAGAAAATAAATGAAAATTCAAACAAATATATTTCTTTTTACTTCTAAAATTCCCAAAGTTTCAATAAAATGAAAAGGTCGAAGTCTTTCTTTCAAAAATTAAAAAGAAAAATCAAAATCAAAATATTTCTCTTTTCCTTCTAAAGCATTTCTTTCAAAAATTCAAAAAAAGAGTTAGTTTATTTACCTTATTTGCAAGAACTACGCTTGGTCTGATTCATGCGGGGTCATGATATGTAGACAATCTCCATAGGATTCGACCGTAACCCTAAAAAAAAGAAAAGAGAGAGGAAGGAAAAGAAAAATAAGAGAGAAAGGAACGAAATAAGGAATCGAGAGAAAGACCATGGCAAAAGAAAAAGGAAAAGCAGAAAATGAAAAACAGAGGGAAAGGAAAAATGAGAAAAACAAAAAGAGAAAGAAAAGCAAGAAAAACAAAGAGTGGAAATCAAAAGAAGAGAAAATAGAAAAAGAAAAGCCGGGATGACGCATGCAACCAGTGCAAACATGTAGACATCCGTTTAACTGTATAGGTGCATCACACCCCAATGTGCGATTACCTAT